AGACCTGCAGGAGGGTATTGCAGTAGTCGAGGTGAGAGATAACCATGGCCTGTACCAGAAGCTGGGTGGCATACTGAGTGATGTAGGGCCTGATTTTCCTTATGTTGTATAGAGCAAAGCAGCATGACCGAGAGACAGCAGCAACACGGTCTGAAAAGGACAGCTGGTCATCAATCATGAAACCCAAGTTTCTCACCACCTTGGTTGGAGTGATGGTTGAGGAGTCAATTTATAGTTTGATGTTATGGTGGATAGATTGCTTGGCTGGAATGACCAAATTCAGTCTTAGAGAGGTTTAGTTGAAGGTGACAAGCCTTCATCCATGCAGATATGTCTGATAGACAGTCCGTGATCTGCGCCGAGACGTCGGGATCACCTGGCGGGAAGGATAGGTAGAGTTGCGTATCGTTTGCGTAGCGAATGATCTGCCCCAGTGAGGTGGTGTAAATTGAGAAGAGAAGGGGCCCTAGCACTGAGCCTTGGGGCACCCCTGTGGAGAGGCAATGGAAGGAGGATAATTGTCCTTGACACAAAACATTATAGGAACGCCCCGAGAGGTAGGATTCAAACCACTGCGAGTGCTTTACTCGAGATGCCCATTGCTGAGAGAGCGGATAGCAGTATCCTGTGGTTGACTGTGCACCTTGCCAGCTTTGTGGTTCAAATTGTCAAAGTGGATGTTCATGTCACCGAGGACAAGTAGGGGACAGTCATGCTCTGGTATTGAAGACAGCAGTGTGTCTAGCTCGTCCACGAAGTTACCCATTTGTCCTGATGGACGGTATATGACAATAACAGAGTCCTTTACCGGAGTGGACACAAAGACAGCATGGTATGCAAAGGAGGCATATTGATTCGGGGGTAGCAGCTGTGTAGATTTTCATTTGTTGGAAATTAAGCGCAGCGGGGCTAGCAGTTTTCTGGTATGATCCAGGTCTCAGTGAGCACCAGTAGCCCAAGAGATAATGTGTTAGCATAAGCAGTGATAAAGTCAGCTTTGTTGACTGCCGACTGGCAGTTCCAAGACTCAACAGACAAGTAAACAGATGTGGGTGGTGCCTGTTTTAAATGCTTGAGGAGTGCCTGATTTCTGTGCCTGATGGCATGATACCTCTTGCGTGAACCGGAGATAGGAATAGTATAGTAGCAAATGGCCTGAGTGTTCTCCTAATCTGGAATTTTTAATCATAAACTGTAAACCGTTTTACTCCCCCCTGTGAATTTGCTTCATTCATTCTGGTCGGTGTTTACATTCTGCCGCACGCCAACGTGCACGAAGCACAGCGAATGCTGGCCAACCGGATGCTGTGTGTGTAGCAGACAAACCCGGACTCACTTTTTATTGTTCTTGGTGACTTTAACAAATTAAACCTCTGCCAAGAACTCACCAAATTCAGACAGTTTATAAAGTGTCCAACCAGAGAGGGGAACACACCACAGTTAGCAGTGCCTATCACGCCGTCACACACGCTCCACTGGGACACTCTGATCATGTCATGGTCCACCTGATTCCTGCTTACATACACACAATTAAAACTCTATAAACCTGTAGTCAGGACATCAAAGAAGTGGACCATTGAAGCTGGAGAGGATCTTCAGGCATGCTTGGACTGCACTGACTGGGATGTTTTCAGGACTGCTACCAACAATCTGGATGAGTTTACAGAGGCTGTGACGTCCTACTAAGCTTCGGTGAGGACAGCTGCATTCCAACACGCACCAGGTTGAGTTATAACCCTGGTTTACAGCTAAACTCAGACAGCTGAGGTTGGAAAAGGAAGAGGCATTTAGGAGTGGAGACCGAGCCGGGTTTAAGGAGTCAAAGTACAGGTTTAGCAAGGTGGTGCGAGATGCTAAACAGATGTACGCAGAGAGACTACAACACCAGTTCTCAAGAAATGACTCTGCTTCTGTCTGGAAAGGATTCAGACAGATCACCAGCTACAAACCTAAATCCCCCCACTCCATGAACGACTCACGCCTTGCCAACAAGTTGAACCAGTTCTACTGCCGCTTTGAAAGACAATGGGACAGACCTGACACCATCCCCCGTCACACCACTGCCCGGCCACAGTCCACCATCTCATCCCCCACCTCCTCCCCCTCTCTTACCATCCTAGAGAGGGACGTCAGCAGACTGTTCAGGAGGCAGAATCATCGCAAAGCAGCTGGCCGGACTCTGTCTCCCCATCCACCCTGAAGACCTGTGCTGATCAGCTGTCTCCGGTGTTTACAGACATTTTTCACACCTCACTGGAGTCATGCCATGTGCCAGGCTGTTTCAAAGCCTCCACCATCATCCCTGTCCCCAAAAAACCAAGGACAAGGACCGCAGAACTAAACGACTCCCCAGGAACCTACGACAGGATCCTGTTTGTGGACTATTGCTCTGCTTTAATCACAATCATCCCAGCTGAATGTGCCTGACTCCACCTGCAGGTGGATCACAGACTTCCTACAGACAGGAAGCAGCACATCAAGATGGGAAAACATGTCTCTGACTCCAGGACCAAAAGCACCAGTTCACCTCAAGGCTGCGTTCTTTCCCCTCTGCTCTTCTCCCTGTGCACCAACAGCTGCACCTCCAGTTACCAGTCTGTCAAGCTCCTGAAGTTTGCGGACGACACCACCCTCATTGGATTCATCTCAGGTGGGGATGAGTCCGCCTACAGGTGGGAGATCGACCATCTGGTGACCTGATGCAGCCAGAACAGTCTGGAGCTCAACGCTCTTCTGAAGACAGTGGAGATGGTCGTGGACTTCAGGAAGAGCCAAGCCCTACCCTCCCCCATCATCCTGAGTGACTCCCCAGTCACCACTGTGGACTCCTTCCGCTTTCTGGGAACCATCATCTCCCAGGACCTCAAGTGGAAGCTGAACTTCACCTCCCTCTCCAAGAAGGCCCAGCAGAGGATGTACTTCCTGCGGCAGCTGAAGAAGTTCAGCCTGCCAAAGACAATGATGGTGCACTTCTACACCGCCATCATTGAGTCCATCCTCACCTCCTCCATCACCATCTGGTTCGCTGCTGCCACTGCCAGGGACAAGGGCAGGCTGCAGCGCATCATTCGCTCTGCAGAGAAGGTGATTGGCTGCAATCTTCCATCACTTCAGAAACTATACGCCTCCAGGACTCTGAGGCGAGCAGGAAAGATTGCTGCTGACCCCTCCCATCCCGGTCACAAACTGTTTCAGACTCTCCCCTCTGGCAGGAGGCTGCGGTCCATCAGGACCAAAACAAGCCACAAAACCAGCTTCTACCCGTCTGCAGCCTCATCAACAAGACCCGGACCACCCACTGACATTCCCCCCTTTCAAATAATACAATCCTCTCTGCACATGTAAATATCACTTCATGTCATATAATGCACGAACCTGGCACATTGCACATATTTGTTAATTTGTTGTTAATTGTAAATTGTTGTTGTTCCATTGTTATTAAATCATATATTATTTTAATTTTTTTATATTGTCAGTTGTATTATTTTTCTCTGTTCTTCTGTTATTCTTATATAACTTGCAATTGTTTGTTACATATTTATATTTCTACATCATATGTAAGCTGTATGTCTGTCTACGTGTAGCACCTTATCACCAACGCAAATTCGTTGTATGTGTGAAACACTACTTGGCAATAAATCTCCTTCTGATTCTGATTCTGAGTGGCTGTGTTAGTGGGGAGTTGGTCATTTGTCATGTTAATTACATGTCTTAAATTATAATAAATACAGCACTTTTCTCCTTCATGACTTGCTAACCCTCATGTGTTTTCACTGCACTCTCCCGGCTTCCTCCCAGCTCACAGTAGCATGTTTAATGATACGGTAGTTAAGAGTTAGAGGCTACGCTGCTGACAGACGTGATTGTAGATTTATTTCTGAAACAGTGTAGCAGTTCGTTGTAGCTTTGGTTAGAATTACAGAGTGCTGGTATAGGGATGTGAATATGCTACATTGAAATTATGGTAGATTGTGTGTAAAGTGAAATACACATGCTTATTCTCTCTCACTCTCTGTGTTTACAGATGGCTGAAAAAGTTCCACCTTCCAGCTGCAAATATTTATTGATGTGTAATTGTTTACATGTTAAGTTGTTGAGACTGTAGTCTATTTTGTTAACATAATTCGTTTAGAAGAAGGTTTTATAGCCCACATACAGAACAGCTTTCAATATCAGCCTGTTCTAAGTGTAGTTTATACAGGAAAGGTGTCTATTATCCAAATCATTCTCAAAATCTAAATATCAGCTCATAAAGCGGCTCTTTTTTCATTTAATATAATATATAATTTAATAGAATCTCGGCATCGGCCCCCAAAAACCCATATCGGTAGGGCTCTAATTATTCCTTAATTATTATGATTAATATTACAAAAAAATGACTATATTAAGTGTAATAAGTTGTCCATGGTCAGCAGGAAATGACACTCGGGTAAATGTAGTGTTGATATCATATATCCATATTTATTTATCTTTATGTATTGTAATCTGACTAAAAGAGAAATCTGGCATAGGCTTTTAGATACCTGGGTACATAGGTGTTTAGCACTGCCTGGCTTCATCTGTGCTTCTGCCTGACATGCATGAAAATTGAAAGAGATCTGACCTCTCTCTCAACCTGTTGCAGTTGAATCAAAATGTTTTCAAATTATTAATTTGCAAATAAAGTCAAGCCAACTCGTAGTAATCATATTTATTTACTTTGCTTGCTGCTCCCACACTGTCTTAGTAAAATGCTACTCTATGACTATAAAGTGCTTTTGATTTTCGTTCTGCTATTAAATATAGTGAGCTCATTTCTCAAATCTGACACAACATGGTGCACAAAACTGTTTCTAAAACTGTTTTGCTTTAGCATTATGTAAATGTCATGTCTCTATTTGCAAAAGCAAATAAAGGTAAATGTACTTTACGTTTAAAGCTGTAACACAAAGCATGGTTAGAATAATACAAAGCTCCAATACCATAAAAGAAAATAGGTCTCCTTTAGGTGACTGCTAATACTAATAGCGTAAATTTGATATCAGATTTTTACATGCGACACGTATTTTAGACATATTTAGGCCATACATTACAGGGTTGAAGAGTGGCGGGCATGTTAGAAAGTATAACGATAAAAAAATCCGCAACATATTGGGTACATTGTTCATGTTAAACCTGCTCTGTAATATTTCAAAGCAAGCCCCAAAAGAAAAGTTCAGAAGGGAAGCAAGGTGAGGAGTGCAGGTACTGACAGCTTTTTGTCTCGTCTGTTTAGAACCAGAAAAGCAAACTTTAAAGATCTTCATATAAGTGTAAACGATTAAAATAAGTGGACCAAAGACTGAAAGGGCACTAACAAAGAGTCCATAGATGTTATTGACCGTGGTGTCATAACAGGCCAGTTTTACAATAGAGTGGTTGTCACAATACACTTTGTTAATAATGTTCCCACACCGCTGTAAAGGAACAATCAAAGGAAGTGTAAAGAAATTCACAAGAATTGGGGATAACCATATTACAGCAATAAGGATGACTACTTTGTTGATAGGCATACATGTATTGTATTGTAGAGGACAGCAGATCGCAAGGTATCTGTCATAAGACATGATGGCTAAGTTTAAAAATTCTATACTCCCATAAGAGTACACACAGAAAATCTGCAGGAAGCAAAAGGGAGCAGAAACAGTGTGAATGTCAGAGAGAATCTGAACCAGAAGGGATGGAAACAACCCTGTACTACCATATAATCCATTTACAAACAGGCTGCACAGAAAAAGGTACATAGGTTCATGTAAGCTTCTGTTCATACAGATAGTTGCAATGAGCAAAACATTGGCAAAAACAATCAAAATATATAGAGACAAAGCAATCATGAAATATAAGTATTTAAACAGCCCTGTGTCAAAGTAGGCAGAAAGAGTGAAATATGAAATCTGTGTCGCGTTTGTCATGAGCCTCTTTCTGGTTCCTAACACTGTGCACCAAAACAACACCTTTTTTTACACTGAAGATTTAACTGGTAGTTATAATATAACAGTTTTAAACATCAGCTTCATCTGAAACATCACACACATAAAGACAGCATAATAATACTAAACAGATTCATTATCATACAATTTTAACAAACTACCCCAAATGTACCATTTAATTTTTAAAGTCACTGCTTAGGTTAGAACTCACTGAGAAAACATCTGTGACTGTGTGTTAATTTGAGCATTCACCTGCTGTCCTGCGGAGTCCCAACTAACTGAGCTCAACTTCTGTTTGCTCTTCATATAAACTTTTCAGGACAGAGGATACCCATATCAGCGGAGTGACCTCATTATGAAAGGTCCCAATGAAGTTTAATTAATTACTTCATTTTATACTAAATATGAATTACTTCCTCCTATACCATATAAAAAAACATTTATTCTTTTACCATCCATCATCTTTACCCATTTATCCTGTTCAGGCTTATGGGGTGAGATGCTGGGTAAACCCTGGACAGGTTTTGTCACAGGGATTACATAATAGCTACACAGTCACACACACACATTGACGCCTATGGGCAACTTCAGGTCACCTATATGTCTTTGGGCTGTTGGAGGGAACTGTAGTACCCAGAGGAAAAACATGCAGTGGAACATGGTGGAAAACATGTCAGTACCTATCAGAAGTGGTCCAAGGAAGGAAAAGCTGTGAACCAGTGACAGGGTCATAAAGGCTGGCCCATGTGGTCCGACGAGCAACTGTAGGTCAAAATGCTGAAAAAGTTGATGCTGGTTCTGATAGAAGGTGTCATCGCAGTTTTTTTGCTTATGTAACTGCATAGCTACAGACTAGTCAGGGTATCCATGCTGATCCTTGTCCACTGCCAAAAACACCTACAATGGGCCTGTTCTGATAATTCGCGTATACTTTTACATCACATAGATGGTAAGGTGGCTGTGCGTTGCTTACCTGGGGAACACATGGCACCAGGATGCACCATGGGAAGAAGGCAAGCCGGCGGATGCAGTGCGATGCTTTGGGGATGTTCTGCTTGGAAACCTTGGGTCCAGCCATTCATGTGATGTTACTTTGACACGCACCACCTGCCTAAGCAATGTTGCAGATGAAAACGGTATTCCCTGATGGCAGTGGCCTCTTTCAGCAGGATAATGCGCCCTACCACAAAGTCAAAGTGGTTCAGGAATGGTTTGAGGAACACAACGAGTTCAAAGTGGCCTCCAAATTCCCCAGATCTCAGAGCAAGGGAGCATCTGTCATGGAGGCCCCACCTCGCAACTTACAAGACTTAAAGGATCTGCTGCTAACGTCTTGGTGCAAGATACCACAGCACACCTTCAGAAGTATAGTGGAGTCCATGCCTCAACGGGTCTGGTCTGTGGTGGCAAAAGCGATCCCTACACAATATTAGACATGTGGTCATAATGTTATGGCTGATCGGTGTTATTAGTGTATATATCTTGTTGTCGGTCCAAGCATTTCTGTTCACCATTGCTGTTTATTGTTCATAGTATTTTCTGCAACTAAGCAACCAACACGGCCGGATTACTGCAATTCCTTATTATCAGGCTGCTCGAAAAAGTCCGTTAAGACTCTTCAGCTGATCCAGAATGCTGCTGCACGTGTTCTGACAGGAACCAGGAAAAGAGATCATATTTCTCCTGTTTTAGCTTCTTTGCATTGGCTTCCAGTAAAATCCAGAATAGAATTTAAAATCATTCTTCTTACCTACAAAGCTCTTAATGGTCAGGCACCATCTTATCTTAAAGAGCTCATAGTACCTTACTACCCCACCAGAGCACTGCGCTCCCAGAATGCAGGGTTACTTGTGGTTCCTAGAGTCTCCAAAAGTAGACTAGGAGCCAGAGCGTTCAGCTATCAAGCTCCTCTCCTGTGGAACCAGGTTCCAGTTTGGGTTCAGGAGGCAGACACCATCTCCACATTTAAGAGTAGGCTTAAGACTTTCCTCTTTGATAAAGCTTATAGTTAGGGCTGGCTCAGGTAGTCCTGAACCATCCCTTAGTTATGCTGCTATAGGCCTAGACTGCCGGGGGACTCCTCTTTTTTGAGTACGGTCTAGACCTGCTCTTTTATGAAAAGCACAATGCGATAACTGCTGTTGTGATTTGGCGCTATATAAATAAAACTGAATTTAAGTGAATTAAACAACAGAATTGACAGTCTGTGTTACTCTGGAAAGACATTTCTGAAATAGTGCTAAAACGCTTGTATGTACTGTGACCGTTTTAAAATAAAACATAGTGTGCATGTAACTTTAAACACTTTGCCTCTTAGCCATTAGGCAGTTTAGAACCATGTTGTACTCAGTGTGGAGGGCAACATATTCTTCGGCATTTAGTCCAGAAAACTGACAGAGTTTCTACTTAGCAATGGTTACATCCAACACCCTATTCAGGATTCTTCGTTGTTTGTAACACAAAGGAATAGTCACCCAGCTTATTAGGTAGGGCCATGATAGCAAAGGCAATCTGCTGATACTTTGGCTCAACCTGGCCAATGTCCACAGCTCCTCAGTGGCAAAAGAAAAGAACGGCAAATCTCTGGTGTTGAAGAGGGGCAAAGTTACCAGTTTAACCTTTAGATCAGCGAAAGCCAATTTCCTTAGGGGCAGAGAAACCAGCAAGACAAGGGGCCCTATCTTGCATCCTGTGCAAAGTGCAGCACAAGTGTCATTGCTGGTTTCCAACCGCCGCTGTTTATTGTTATTTTAGGGGCTCATTACTCTGATGGTAAGAGAGACGCTGTGCGCATTTACACACGAGCCACAGCAGCATAACTTCATTGATTACTAAAATCTCGCGACACGCCGACAGAATCTGTCAGGATCTGTGCTGTGAGGATCCAGATGTTTCATAGAGGAGCCAGGCAACGTGGGCAACTGCTCTGTGACCCCAGACCATTACAGGCCCTGAAGACACAAGTGTGAGACTCATTCAATGCACCAGCAGATTGACATTTTCTAAACCGTCCCTGTTTACAGCTGCACTACCATAAGATATCATAGTTTTACTTTAAATCACCAAAGTATCTAAACTTAATGAGTTTCCGCCATTCTTGTCACTTTCTAGTCTTTCTAATCTCCAAGTAACACGTGTGTGTTGGCTGACGCCAAAGTCCTTCTGCAGAAACAACAAAACAAACATTATCTATGCGGTGGTCACTACACAGGAGCATAACCACACAAAGCGGAGGCCTGAAGCTGCTCTGTGTTTCAGCAGTAACCATGGCGACAGCAAAGCGTCTTCCCATAATTCCCTGTGATGCAGGGTGAGCTAATTGGCCTGTTAGTGAAGCAGGTTAGAGCCTCCAGAGTGTCCGAGTGTCCACACAGACGCCCCTGGGGTCCGGCCTTGTGTTGTGTTGCAGATGGAAATAGCTGCTGATGATGAAGGGGACGAAGAGAGGCGATCTGCCGGGACTCATTACTGTGAACTGATACAGTAAACATGAGTCCCCAGGGCCCACCCTCTGTCCACCATACACCACACCCAAACTAAGAGAGTTAAACATTTAATTCATTTAAATGTGCAATATCTATGACCTGCAGAGGAAATAAAGTTATCGCTGACCTTCAAAGGTTTACGTAATGCGTTACCAGTGTGGTACACTACAGGTTGTTTTTACCTGTGAATTTGGAAAGTACCAGTCCAGCGTCAGACATACCGGACCCTCTTAAACACAGACACCTATTTCCAGGAAAAACGCCTAAAATAACATACCCAAAATGAATCAGTAATAACTCTTTAACCATTTGGCCTCGATGCATAATTCTCCTTTGATAGGTCATCAGCTAAAGAATATGAGTCAACTGTAAATGAACCTATTGATTTTGCTATTAAAGAATAAATGGAGATGCAATAAAGGAAAATATGATATTTTCGTCTTCACCTGGTATAAAATCTATATTTTAATAGCAATATCACCATCAAAACCATCATCTGTAGATTATAATGCAACTGGATATCTTCTAATACAACTGGAATACAAATGTAACTGATATTACACAATTATTATTATTACACAATTTTCCATGTTTTTTCATCAATTCTATTTCTGTTCAAAACATAAATATTCAACATTCCCCTGACCGAAAGAACTCCCATGCTTTACAGGACCATAACTTGAGAACAGAACATCCTACAGGCCTGGTCTCTTGCTCTTTCACCTGAGCAGACGAACCATTGGACGTATGCTACTATGGGTCGGTCTTTAAACAATATCCTAGATGGGGCCTGGAGCTATTTTTACACACAAAACAGCAAAAATGGCAAAAGTAAGTCGGCGGATTTAACAGTAAATGTATATTAGTGCGTTTGTTGTTGTTATTATCCAGCTAATAAGTGTGAGTTTTGTGATTTCAGCGATGTGAGTTGCACAGCTGATCAGAGCTGGAGTTGAGCTTTCGTTAGAGGTGTAGGATGAGATGAGAGATATCTGGAAGGCCATAACTGCAGCCATGTACAGTGATTACAGAGCAATTTATGTTGTGATATAAGTTCATTTAGATGCTTGGTGTTTGATGGTTGGTTTGACGTTCTGGCTGAGCCTCCTAGCTTCACGCAGGTGTGTGGCATGTATAGGGTGATAAAATACTAGGATCAGACATGGATTTCTCATATGCATTTTGAGCGAAGATCGAGCTACGTCCCCGGAACCCGGAGACTTTGGGGCTTAATTAAGTATGGACGGATGAGACAAATGTCACGGTTTGGTTGGGTTAAGGTAACAAAACTACTTGGTTAGGTTTAGGAAAAGTAGTTCTGAGGAGGAGGATTGCACCTATGTAACGTTATTTAACTTTAAATAAGTCAACCTTGACTTGGTTTCACATACAACCCATGACCCTTGGGTGAAAGTCCTGTGTTTGACTTTCTTGCTCTTTATACCACGTCACCTGACTTCTTCCTTTGCTACTGTCAGACCACCACTAGAGGTTGTGGCCTAACAATAAACAATA